GATATATTGAAGAGCCGCAGGCGAGCAGTGAAAGAGCCGCAAGCGGCTCGCGAGCCGCGGGTTCGCCACCCCTGAAATAGACCTTCAGCAGATATAAATTAGCAAAGCGGGTGAGAAAGTCTACCACAGCCAAAATGTACCTGTTCCCCTGCGTGGTCATTGGAAGCCCTGTTATGTCTGCCGCGATTCTCTGGAAGGGTCTGTCAGCATGACTGGACTGTAACGGAGCCCTTCCCTGTGGTGTGGGAGAGCTGTGGGATTGACATGGTAAACAGTCTGTGCAGAATTTGTAAATGTCTCTCGACATGTAAGGCCAATAAAAGATCTGTCTCGCTCTCAACAGGGTACGTTCAGCACCTAAGTGTCCACAAAATTTGTCTCCATGCAGCCCTTTCAGAGCTGTGGGAATCAGGGCCTCTGCCCTGATATGAGTGGGGCGAATGTGGAGAGGGTCTCACTGCATGACACAGAAGGCCATTATGAACCACTAATTTAGGAAATTTGTGCCACAGCTTCCGCAAGGCAGGCAGTGACTGCCTTAACTGATCCAAAGGTGGCCTATGGCTATCCTTCTCTAACCAAGACAAGGTAGTGTGAAGGCACACATCTGCCTGCTGTTGGGCCTGCAGTTCTGCGGGATCAATAGCCAGCATAGACTGGGTGTCAGGTAGGCTAAAGGGTAGGTTGCTCTGCTTTTCAGCTATAAAGGGGATGGCGGGCTGAGATGCAGTACTCCCAATGACACACTGAACAGCCTTAGTAGCCATCTCTGGTGATCTAGGCTGTCTTGACATTGAATCAGCATTTGCATGCTGCTTCCCTTCCCGATGTATGACAGAAAAGTCGTAGACATCTAACTCGAGTATCCAGCGTGCACGACGGCCCGTGGGATCATTATGCACAGTGGCTTTCCTCAAGTTCAAAAGTGGTTTATGATCAGTGATAATGATGAACGGCATGCCCGACACGAAATGTTTGAAGTGACGCACCGACCAGACTATGGCCCATAACTCCCGGTCATAGGTGGACCATTTCTTTTCAGCTGAGGTCAACGTATGACTTGCGTATGCAATCACACGTTCCCTCCTATCCTGATTCTGAGCCAACACAGCCCCAATATAGTCTTGTGACGCATCTGAATATAGCAAGAAAGGTTGTGTGAATATAGGATGAGCCACAATAGGAGGACTGGTCAAAGCATGCTTGAGAGATTGAAAGGCATCCTCACACTGATCGGACCAATGAAATACAGCACCCTTTTGAGTCAGAGCATGAAGTGGGGCAGCTATTACTGCAAAATTTTTAACAAACCTTCTGTAGTACGAGCATAAGCCCACGAATGCACGCACCTCGGTGGCGGTCCTCGGGGTAGGCCAACTATGAACCTTGTCAAGGTTCTTGCCATCTGGGTGAAGACCCTCACTGGACACTACATGCCCCAGAAAGGAAACTTCCTTACACACTAGATGGCATTTGCGGGGGTTTAATTTAAGCCCAGCTGAATGGAAACGGCTGAAAATTTCCTCCAAGCTGTCCAGATGTTCTGAAAAGGTCCTGCTAAACACTAGCACATCATCCAGATAAATGAGACACACTTTCCAGTGTAGTCCCTGCAAAACAAGCTCCATGAGCCTTTGGAACATAGGGGGGGCATTTGTAAGACCCATGGGCATGACCTTAAACTGATAAAATGCACTGCCGGTGTTAAATGCAGTTTTCTCTTTGTCCTGCTCATCTAGCTCGACTTGCCAATATCCGCTGACTAAATCAATGCTGCTAAAGCAACACGCCCCCGCCAAACTATCAAGGGCATCATCCGGGCGTGGTAGTGGGTAGGAATCTTTGACAGTAACTGCATTCAGTTTTCTGAAGTCTATGCAAAAGCGGAATGTACCATCCTTCTTTTTGACTAACACCAACGGCGAAGTCCAAGGGCTACAACTTTCTTCAATAACATCTCGTGAAAGGAGCTGTTGGACTTGCCTGTCTATTTCTGATCTCAAGTGGGTAGAGATTCAGTAAGCCCGTTGCCTTATAGGTGGGGCATCATCGGTGCGAATACTGTGACGTATCCAGTTAGTACGCCCAAAGTCATGCTCATGAGAGCTAAACACATCAGAGTACTGGCTGAGCAAACTCTCTAACTGCTTTATCTGCTCACTGTTCAGAGCTGTGTGGTTGAGCTTAACAGGCATTGGGGCTGTGGGTGGCTCTGCCTGGGTCTGCACCTGAGCCACTGTAGCATCAATCAAGGAACACTCCTCCCCTTTCTGCTGCACTAGGGAATGGAAGTCCCCTAGTTTGGTGCTGGCTGGTACATAACAGTCATCTTGCTTTGGGTTCATGACACGAATCCATGCTACACCTTTTACAACAGGAGTAACAGAGCGTGCCACAAATAGACCTGGCAGTGTAACATCAGGCTCTAGAACCCCAGTGTAGTTGCACATGAGCTCTGGCTGTCCTGTAGAAGGCTGTATTTTTGCTAACACATTAATTTCTGACATGGCAGGTACAGTGAGAGAAGCTAATGTAATAGCACCGCATTTCAATGAGGCCTTTTGTGCTGCACATAAGAGTAGTACGGACTAGTCCCAGAAGCCTAAACTATTATCTTTTAGATTATTACACGGCTCTCTGGAATGCTTGATTCTGATTGGTCATTTGAGACATTTGCAGGTTCGTTCTTTTCAAATAATAACCGCTCAAAAGTAATAACGCATAGCCGGTACTACTTGTATGTTTAAAATCCCTCCGCGCCAACAAAGATTACCGTTTAAAAATGTTAATTTAAAACAAATATGCCAATAAAATGTTTCAAATTCATATTCATGTCCAGTTTTTTTCCTTATGTGGCAAGTAGCCGTGTAAAAAGCGGGATAATGTACAGGCAGCCGGTAGTTATCGCGAAATAAGCCCCTTCAGTGTGATACAAGACCCTCCGCTTCGCGTCGGGTCTTGATCACACTGTCGGGGCTTATTTCTGCGATAACTACTGGCTGCCTGTACATTATCCCTTAAATAATGATAGCATGGTGTTTGCATAGAAAATCCCAGCCCAGCATAGCTGACTGAGAAGAATTCCTGACGACATGGACACTGTGATTGAAAACCTCCTCACCTAGTCTGATAGAAATGGTAAGCATGCCAAGTGTGTCAAGATAGTCACCAGTAACGGATTTAGCTAGAATGTAAGACTTCTGCATAGGTTTTCTCATTAGAGAGGGAATGGACATTCTCACGGATTCACTAATCAAGGAAATATTTGAACCCGTGTCTAAAAAGAGTTCAATAGCAGTGTTCTCAATGACCGCAAACACAAATGGAGTAGGACTAATGCTGTGCATTGCCAGTTCAGCTTGTTTGGGCCCATTCTGAACAGCAGCAGACACTTGGGCCTCAGTACCTGCTACCATTCGTTTCCCTGTAGCTTGCGATCGTTTGTGGTGAAGATGACATGATGCTGTTCATAGGAAGGTGTAGGGCGATCTCGGGTACTGGCTGGGTTGTCTGCTCTGCGATATGATAACCCACTGGAGTACCCTGATGCATCTGGCTGTCCCAGATGATATGGTGGTGGGCTGCCATAACGACGGTCGTCCGGGCTCTGATGCCTGTAATAGCCTTCCCAACTAAAGGAGGAGCTCTGGTCGCGGTGACGTGGCGAGGATGGGGGTGAGTCGGTGTAGCGACGTCCCCTATGGTCTGATGAATAGTGGCGTCCGGAATGCTCATCGGGCAAGAAACCACGCTGTGGTGACCTTGCAGGCTGCCGATATCTCTGTGGTGAGGTATGCAGAGAGGGGCTTAAAGCTGCTCTTCCCTGCAGACGACGTGACAGCTGCCGCTGTCTGAGTTCATCAGGATTGGACCGTGAAGATTTGTGCTGCTGTTTCAATCTACTCACCTCCAACCGCAAAGTCTGGACCTCAGCTGACAGTTGTTTAACAGCTGACAGGACTTCAGGAGTTTGGTCTGCTGTTGCCTCTGCCTTAGTGGACACCATTGCTGTGAGGTGTGCAGGTGGTGGCAGGACCATGGCATTAGTGGTGGGCACAAAGCCAGCATTCAATGGTGGTGCGAGCCGAAGTGCCTCTTGCGCTCGCTCCCATTTACACACCACTGCCAGGGCCTCCTCTAATGTTGTGGCCCCATGCTCATGGCACTTAACTTGTAAGACTGGATCTAGTCCCGCAACAAATCATCTGAAGGGCTCCATCGCTATAGCCGGCTCTCCATAATTAGGGAATGCCTCAAAAACGAGCCTAGTTATCTCTGCGGCAAAAACCTCAAGTGGCTCCTTCGGCATGCGCTGTCTAGCATTTACTGTACCAATGTTTGAAAATGTTGCAAAAACTGCTTGCCGCCAAAAAACATCAGCCAGTCTGGAAACACACGCATCATAATCCTTCTGTGTGCAAGGTGGTAACAATAACCAGTACGCTAAGGCATCGCCGCTCAGTCTGGTTGGTAAAATAGTGGCTAAATCCTGCTCCTGTGACACCGGACAAGCCCGTACAGCGAGCTCCAATCTAGCTTTCCACAAGGAAAAACTCTCCTTGTCCTTCCCGTCACCGTGGAAGCACGGAGGGAGTTCGACCCTGTAATGAATTACCCTGGAGGCACGATGGTCACCAGCCGTGGACTCATCCTGCTGAACTTTGGGAGCGTCCTCGCTTCTACTGGCGTCCGTCATCGATGCGTTTGACGGGGTGACCAGTGCTGCGTCCTCATCGGAGCTCATGGTGTCCAACGTGTCGTTGCGCAATCCCGGACTAACAAGCAAAGTAAAGTTACATTAACAACAAAATATAATATACCGTTACAAAGGCGAAAAAAAATGTGTTTTTTTTGTTTTGAAGTTTAGGAAACTGATCGAGTTCATCCCTCCTTGCAGAGTTGACTGACGTCACGCCTTCATGCTTCATAACCAAGGCTGGTGGATTTCAGAGTCCGCTTCATTTCTGCGTTTCTCCTCACCTCAAGGAAGACCTCTTACCAGCGGGATTTACTATGGACACCACCCAGTACATTTTACCGATGCAAACCAGCAACTACAAGCGCCTGTACGAACCTGGAAAAAAACCTATGAATCCCCATGAGCTGCGGATGACATCTACCCCCCCACCGCGGGATCACATTCTTTGGTCCTTTTTCAACTTCATCCACTGTAATCCATGTTGCTTGGGACTCATCGCCCTTTACTACTCTATAAAGGTGAGTACAGCATATCTGACCTGATGATAGAAAGATAATCGTCACATAACGGTTAATCACGTCTTTGTCTTTTTTATGAACCACCACCGCGGACGATTGAGTAAGATTATTACCAGTTTATACAAGTGGTCGATTTTCTGATTTTCTTTTTGGATTAAGTGTCCTGATGTAGCCATATTCTGAAACAAACACGGAACTTTCGATTGAACACCGGGGGGGGGGGGGGGGGTGGGGGGGGGGGGGGGGGGGGGGGGTGGTTGAGGTCCTAAACCATTCATCATGACAGAGTATGAATATTCTGGTGGGGGGAGTTTGCATTAACAGGTGTTATGCCGAAAACAGCATGTCTGCTGCAAAATTCAGTGTGTTATGGGTGGGTATAAAAAGTGAACCCACCAATATTAAAATTCAGTTGAAAAACAAACATCTGTTAGAGGGGAAAAAAAACAAACAATAAGCTGGTTACACGACTATGTACACTCAAACTAATACTTGGCAGTATTTGCCCACTCTATCTTGCAAAAGCGCTCAAAATCTGTCAGATTGCGAGGGCATCTCTTGTGCACGACCCTCAACAGGTCACCTCACACATCTTCAAGTATATTGTGGTCCGGGCTCTGGCTGAGCCATTGGAAAAGTTTAGCTTTCTTCTGGTGAAGCCATTCTTTTGTTGATTTGGATGTTTGCTTGGGGTCATTGTCAGGCTGAAAGGTGAAATTCCTCCTCATCTACAGCTTTCTAGCAGACACCAGAAGGTTTTGGGCCAAGAGTGACTGGTATTTGGAGGTGTTCATAATTCCCTCCACCTTGACTAAAGCTGGGGGCTGACCATGCACGTTTTTTTATTCTTTATATTTTTGCCTCTCACAGATTTGTTTCTCTTTAATTTGAATTGTACGGGTTACAGGTCACATTAAAGGTGGGAAAAGTTTTGAAAAGATTTATCGTGGTCTTATTATTTTACATCACAAAAACCTGCCATTTTAACATGTGTGTATAATTTACTATCCACTGTAATAGCTCAAAAGAACAAACATGAATTTGGCAACGTGTCTCTTGTTACATTATAAGTGTGTATCACATCTCCAGTAATACTGTTCTTGTTTTCATGAAGAAAAAAATGTATTTGCTCACATACCAATCATGAGAAGCACTTGTTGATGGGAGCTACAGAAATTCAGAACTAAAGGGGATGCCTTTTTCGGTCAGCTATGGAAGTTTGCTGGTATGATGTCAGTATGACTAGCAACAGATCTTTTAACTGCATATTTTGCTGAGATCCGCTCCCTGCACAAAAGGCAGATCTGGGGGGTGGGTAGCACTGCCCCCATGACAAAACCTCAATGGTGTATTTTTATCTCGACTGGTTCTGAGACATACCCAGAAGTTTCCTTTAGTTTCTCTGCTTGCTAACCCTAAGTCACCCTGACCCAGATTACAAGTTTCAGGATGAAACTATACGTGCTGTATTTGTGCTTTATGCCTGAGACATGACAGCAATCCCACAACGCCTCCCTCCCAGCTTATCCAGTCAATTTCCCATCCACAGAACTCCTTCTTTGCTTTATAAATATCCCAGTATTTATTGTAACAATATAACATCACAACATCTGAAATTTTTCTAATATAGTATATACTATATTATATATATAGCATTTTTTTTTTATTTTTTGTCATCCAATCCACATCACGTTGCATCTGTTATTCCGACCAAATCACAATTAAAGCTTGGGTCTCCTAATTTTCTGAGATGGCACCTGCACTTTTTCAGAATGGTGGATATATTTTGTGTTTGCACAGTCACCCAAAACATCTAGTTTCTCCATTAAAAAGAAAAAACAAAAAGTTCAGACATTCCAGCTATACAACTGAATGAATCTGGGTCTTTGGAGTAAGTCATGTGACTGTTTAGGTTAGGTCATGTGACTGTTCACTTCTCTACCTGTTAAATGAAATGTTCACATCTGTGTCTATTTGGCATGCCCTGATGAAGACTTACTAGTCTATGGGTGGTGAACCTGATCCATGGAGAGCTGCTGTAGGTGTGGGTTTTTGGGGTGACCTCAAGCAGCCAATTACAGTGGGTCCGCAGGACTGGAATTGAGAACCACAGCTATATTACTGGCAAGTCTGGAATGGTAACTGCCAATCACCTACAAATGGCCTATTAGACAGCATAAGAAAGCATAAAAGACAAATTTCTCTACAATTTTTTGCAAGTTTACTGATATAGTGTAATGTTACATATAATGTGAAGACACATTCAAAGATTTACAGCTTTATTCTAACAGACATAATTTTACGTTAGGTCAAACTTGGATGAAGTCATTTTCTTTGTTACAGTAACATAAATTAGCCTATCAGAGATATGGGAAAACTATGGTGACAAAAGTATCCAACATAGGCTTAGTATAGATTAAGCCTGTATAGTATTTACGTCTACTTACATTGCTTGCTATTTGAAAGAACACTGTGACAGATCTTTGTTTTTTTCCGGGTTGGTATTTGCTGCATTGCATACCGCTTTTGACCATGTGACCAAAACCGCATCCGGCACAATTGAAAGCAGCGCAGTTCTCAACTCGTTCAGGATCCAAAAACCACGGCAGAATACAAACATAATATGCGAGGTCGCAAATGCGGCAAGTATAGACGTTTTTGAATAAAATGTTTTAGAAAGAGGTATCCGTGTTTGAGTGATTTATCCTTCCTTTAATCGGCACTCATCGTGGAAGTGATTTTTTTTTTAAGTTATGTACAGGCTAATAGGAATGCATGCATTTTAATCTGTCTACCTGCAAACAGAGATCAAGGAAGTCCGTGGGAACGCATGTGTACAGGCACGGGAATAAGCATGCGTGTGTAAGGGAACTCCTACCTGCAACAAGCACATGCTAGAAGTTTGTGATGGGCAACACAGTTTGATGAGTTCAAACATCACTGTATCCATACCTTTTTAGGGATGCTACACAGGGGCGCAGTGAGGGGGGAGGAGGTTTAAAAAAATGGAAAATAACTGGATTGGTCTGGATGGGGGAGCCCAATATGATATGCCTTCATGGAGCCCAAAATCTCTAGCAACACCCCTGATGCTATATATCAAATATCCTGCCCCGCTCGTCTGCTCCATCCATCTGCCACGCCCCCTCGTTAACCCTGTGTGGATTCCCCGTGTTCACCAGCTGTTTCTGATTGTTGTCATTAGTCCACATGTGCACAGAAGTCTGCGATAGGTATGTTTTCCAAAGTCCGGTCAGTGAAGTCTTGCGTCAGTTTTGGTGTTTTGCCTTACGTGTTTCTTCAATAAATCCCTCATTCCCTGCACCTTCGCCTCCCTGCTCTTGCTTCTCTGGTCGGCGTTCGCGACATCAAAGTTGTTATACAGTGAAAACCTCTTATAGTAATCACGATTAGTGATCAATACGAAGCCCCTAAAGGGACATAGGTGATTAAAAAAAAATTACAGTAACTGGTGCGCACAAGATACTAACTGGTGCCCACCAGATAGATACTAATTGGTGCTCACCAGATACTAAATAGTGCGCACGAGATACTAACTGCAGGATTCCCGCGGGGTCTTAAAAAGTCTAAAATTCAGAAAGTTCAATTTAAGGCCTTAAAATGTCTTAAAAATGCCCAGATTTTCATCCTAGGTCTTAAATTTAATTTACCGAAGTCTTAAAATTCTTACCTCCGTTCATTCCCATAAAGCGTTGTCCGCAGAAAATAAAATAGTAAAACGCTGTAAAACTAATTCGTTTGTTGTGTTTTCTGGTCTGCACCGGTGTCTGCGTGGTAATAAAACTACAAATCCCATTGCGTGATCACTGCAGCCAGACTCTATTGGACAAACAAACAACAGTTTGAGAAGGGTCTGGCTGCAGAACGTGCACTTTCAGCCACTGACGTCAGGTGCACGCTCAGCCACAACAGGAAGTGCAGGGGAATCAAGCGCTAACTTAGGCCCCGTTTACACTGCAGGTCTTGATGCCTAATTCCGATTTGTTGCCTATATCCGATTTTTTGGACAGTCTGTTTACACGGTCTTTTTAATTGTGACCCATATCCGATTCGTGTGTTTACACTTGCTATAATTTCACGCATGCTCAACGGGGGTTTTTGCACGACACCGTAGCCAAGACGGACGAACGCGAAATTTGTTTTATGATAGCTTTGCGATGTATGCCGAACAACATCACGATTTTGAGGCGAAGGAGGAGGAAAAGGGCCATCATTGCAGCCGAAATATCCTCGAAAACAGATTTGTTTCTGTAGGAACCTTTAATTTTATCCTGAACGGATTCTTCTCCCCACAGGGTGAGAAGGTAGGCTATTTCAGGCGCCGACCACTGCCCTAACACTTTCCTCCTCCATGTTTCGTGTGTTTCTTGAATGTTACGCTTCCACACGTACTTCCCACGTACTTTTCACGTACGCAGTTTAATGACGTACAGAACGCAATGCCTCAGAAAATCCGATCTGCCTGTTTACATTACAGTCGCATTGGCCCATATCTGATTTATATCTGATTTATTTCCACATATGAATGAGGCCTGAAACCGATCTCGAAATATCCGAATGCATGCGTTTTTTTCCCGTTTACACTGTCACAGAACAGATCCGATCTGTGTCACATATGAGCAAAAAAAATCGGAATTAGGTCGCATTTAACAGACAGTGTAAACGGGGCCTTAGTTCTTGAGGCCAATGTGAACGGTATGTTGTTTTACTATCTGTATTACTGAATGATATAGTTACAAGTTTATTTCATGCCATACATTATTGCAATGTAAATGTTTTGATGTTTTGTGTAAACACATATGATACGTGGATGTTGGGCTAAGAATATAAGTGACATAAAATATGAACATTTCTGGTGGTATTCTAATGTTTCTAGTAATGTAAATTAATTCTTTGGTCCTTGTTCAACTTCATCAACTGTAATCCATGTTGCTTGGGACTCATCGCCCTTTACTACTCTATCAAGGTGAGTGCAGGAA